GAGAGAAAAATGACTTCTGTGGCAGATCACACCTGGGCACCAATTGGCAGCCGAGTGAGTCCGGAATTGCAATAAGGAGGGATATAATTATAGATTAGTTTTAGGACTTATATAATTTGTATTCTTTTTGTATCTCATGATATATATTTTATATGTATCTCATGATATTTCCTTTAATAAATGAAGGGCAAGATCGCTCAAGTTAGAAAAAAAAAATTTAAATATAAACTCATCTCATTACAGTATAATTAATATATTTCTGAGTAGACTTTTACAAGTAAATTTTAAAAAATCTATATTAAAAATCATTGCTATTACACTTTAAATCATTACCTTAGCATTAAAGAAATATCTATCTAAAAAAATTCTTTTAAAAAAAAAAGTTATAATAAATAAAATATAATATTCATAAAATAATAGTTATTAAAAATAGAATATTAACTCTGAAATTCTTTATAGACTTGATCTTTAACTATATTAATATCTTGTTTAGAATAGTATTTATATTGATATAAGATTTAGTAATTTTAGTAAGTACTGTATCAGTATGAGGTTCTTGATTTATACTTGATACAAGTTCTAATATATTAACCAAAGTTTTAATCATACTAATTTTTTAGCTTTTATTTACACTTTATATACATACATTTCTTATGAACTTTTGTGTCTTATAATATCTATAATAGTATCTTCTAGTATATTTGCATTCTGAAGTATCTGAGCTGCAGTTTTCCTTCTAAAATAGTTTGTTAAAATTCTATCTGGAAGTTTTACTTTTACTTTTTGTTCAATATCTCTCATAAAATTTTCTACTTTATTTAAATTGCAATAAGTTTTAGAATACCAAATACTATTATCTTGCTAATCTGAATTCAGATGCAAATAAAAATTATTAGAAGCATCAGATAGGTGTTTTGAAATATATTTAGTAAGATTATTCACAAGACCAAAAGTGCCAAGTGAATCAGATAGTAATCTTATTTGATATGCATCACTACCTTGAATTCCTCATTGATTATTTTTGCTATGATATCGATAAAATAAAATACTTCTATCAGATTGAATTTAAAATTAATTGATCTGAAGTATATAGTGTTCACCATTTCGACATGCAAAAATTATTATATTGTGAAAGAAAACTCTATATAATAAGCCTTAAGGTATGTTGAGATTTAAAAAATTATTATTAAGAATTTCTTTTACTTGTTGAACTGATAGTGCTATTGATCCTTTTTTTTTACCTAACCTTTTTTCTTGAAGATCTTTTATTTTACTATTTAAAATATCATACAAATCAGAAAACTGATATTTGTTATGTAAATTAAAGCCATGAATTGCTTCATTTTTATTAATATATCTATTAATTCTATCAACTGCTTGTTTTATTGTTTTGGCTTTATACTCTCTTCT